TTCAACTGCAGGAACTAAAATAGAAAAATTAGGACCTACGAAGACACCTTACAATGAAGAAGGAACTTAGGTCCTCATTTCTTTGTCTCGCAATTACTGAATGCCTAAATGAACTCGGATTCACTTCTGACCCATATTTAGAAAGCAGTAACAAAATATACACAAAAATAAAACATAAGTTCAAGAGGGAAACGACCAGAAAAAAAACTGCCACTCTTCCGCCGTCCCTTAAAAAATAAAATGAAATTTAGTTAGACCACCACAATTCTTTTGTATCAAAAACCTTGCAGTCGGTGCCTTCCCCTACGCATGACCCTCAAAAGCAGCTAGAAATTCAGCGGAAAGTTGTTGGCTCCGTAGACCAGCCCTAGGCAATGAAAAGCTACATTGTGATTGTCCTCGCAAAACAACAGTTAATTGTTCCTAAAATTTCATCCATTTGGTTCGTCTTTACTAAAACTATATAACGAATGCCTTGCACGAGTAAAATCACCTGTCATTAACCCCAATTCATTTGTCTGATCAACAGTCAAAAGCGCCAAGTAGCCAAACTTGGCCGTATTCATACAGCTCAGCTGCTTCAAACTTCAGCCTTCTGGCAACGTCTCTAAAGCAGAAACATACCAATTGCACAACGCGCGAACTACCTTTCCGCAACATTACGCTGGTAAGTGCGAATAACCCTCAGTCCATCTCATTTTCACCAATCAAACTCATCTATCCAATCTTTTCGCTCTCTTACACTTTAGACATATTTGCCAAACGGGGAAAATGTTAATGAATTGAATGCAAGAAAAGATTACTACACTGGAAGATCTTGTTTCGTCATCGATAATTTATAGCACCAAATAAACATTACCAGATAACAAAAATCATAAAAACACAGATTAGTCCATTACATTAACAACGTTCCAAAAACAAAGCATCAGTGAAAGTCTTTTTTTAAGTACATTACCTTTAAGGCTACCAAATTCCTTCAAAAATTGTACACGAACAACTTAATTTGATAACGAGAAGAAAAAAAGAATTACCAGAATGAATAAATAAACCAACAATGGTTTCAATTCTGATATCACTAATAACAAGAGATCATGATGCTGAAAAACTCAATGCTTTCAAACAATAAAGCTAACATAAATGTACAGACAAATTCAACAGAAGTCGGGTTTCACAACATTTGGAAAGACAAGTATAACACTGCAGAAGTTTTACCTAATGCTCAGAGGAGACATAAATGGCCAAAAGTGGGTAAAACAATAGCCGCTGTGTAAATTGTAAACTGTAGGAAAACAAAGTGAAAAACAGATCCAGCAACGTTTTGGAAATTAAGGAATATACACCATTTGGTTCTGGGCAAATATTTCTGATAAACTTTTCCGTTCTGGAGCTACAGTGAAAAAAAGCACTTCGTTGACAGAGCGCATGAAAAGTTACAGGAACCAATTTGCAAAATAAGCAGTGCACAGGCACTAGAAAAACTCCAAACTATAGTAGCAGAAAGACAAAAATCCTTAAAATTACAATTATATTTCTAGCATCTGGATTCTTTTGCAAACATCTATGGCGCCAGAGAAAGACTGATATCTAAAGACAGCAAGCGGATAACAATGCAACCTAATGAAAACAACAATGAAGCTGAAATTCTGAACTATAAGTAACTACCCTGCAATTATTTAAGACTCATCATTTCACCCTAACCTGGAATTTTATTTCTTTCCATTACCACCTCCATTTTTCAATGGCCTTTAAAGTCAGATGTTTGCGAATCAAGCTACATGCTAGAAATGCAAAGGTAGTTTTCGTACATAATTCTGTGGCATTAATATAGTCTAGACCCATCCTAATAACTGTAGCAATTCGTTACACAAATTTATTTCTCTAATACTTGATTTAAAACAATGCTTCTCCATTACAGTTCTCTGACAGTCATTTTTTTTAACAAGTGCTCAGAACCAGATGTGGTTTCTTCCACAACTTTCCATAATTCATACCAGCAAAACCCATCCCCACCCTCTTTACTTCCGATTAAATACAGGAACTCATTTATCCCCACTACAGCTCCAAAAAATCACTTTTTAAGACTGTTACTTCGAACCAGACGCTGTTTATTTCTTAGCTTTGGAGACAAAAACAGAATTAACATTCAAGGTTATTATTAACACTGCCGTTCCGAGCGGGTGAGCAACAATAATTCCTGTTCGTGGCTCCAAATATGGAAAATGAACAGCGCCTAATTTGAAGCATTAATCTCAAAGTGACTTTCTGAAACCTTGTCGAGAAAAATGAGTTTCTGTATTTAATCAAAAAATAAAGACGGTCGAGATGAACTTTAATGTTATGAATTATGGTAAATTTTTAAGAGAAATCGCATCTGGTTCTCGGCAATCATTTAGAAAAATTAACTGTCAGAAAGCTGTCATGAAAAAGCACTTTTTTAAATGAGTTTTTTAAATGAGGTATCAGAAAATGCGGAAATAAATTTGTATAACAAGACCGCTTTAGTCTAAAATATATTAATGCCACAAAAACTTGTACCACTGCATTTCCAGCGTGCAGCTTTATTCGCAAACATCTGTTACTTTGAAGGTCATTGAAACGTGAAGGTAGTAACGAAAGGAAATAAAATTACAGGTAAGGGTGAAATAATGAGTTGCAAATAATTGCAGCGTAGTTACTTATACTTCAAAATTTTAACCTTATTGGTTATTTTGTTTTGTTTTTATATATTGATAGATGTTCGCGAAAGAATCCAGATGCTGGAGATGCAGTAATAATTTTAAGTATTTTTATCTTTTTGATACTACTGTTGTCTTAAGAAACAAATTTTTCAGAGCCGTAATAGAGCAAAATGAGTTTGTGCAAATATTCAAAAATGAGGAAGTGGAAGTGCTTTTTCGTGAAAAAAGCTGTAGGAGGCTGTAAGTCATAGCATCTAGTCCCGAATAAGTTGTTTTTAAAAATTACCAGTCACTGCGCTATGAAGAAAACAGCACTCCCTTGAATGAGGTATCAAAAGGTGTGGAAATAATTTTGTATAATACTACTGTTACAGTTGTTTTAGAAAGGGTCCAAACTATATTAACGTATCGACAGCAGTCACAAAAAGAAATTTGTACTTGTCTATAAAAAAGAGATACAAAACTCCCTCCACCTTTCACCGCTGCATAACTCAAAACCATGAGGCCGCCACTCCACAGCCAGAAAATAGCAGTCAATAAAGACAAATTAGGGGTAGGAATACGATGAAGGGTCATGAATTGAGTAACCACGGATTGTTCGCTACAGTAAGAGGTGTTCTGTCGCCATAATCATACAGAAGTTCTTCGCCTTCTTTGATATCGCGTTTTGCAACCAAAATTAGATGAACGGTACCCTTGATTTCGACGATCTTAACATTTTTTAAGAAAATGATATCTGTAGCTGCATCGATGAGATAACTTTCCAAATACAATTTCATCTACTTTTAATTAATATTACAAAAGAACTTCGGAAAAACCTTGGTTTTCAGATTAGGATGCAAAACTGAGTGGTTTATAAGGCGTCCTTTATATACAGTTTCCTCGGTTGCATCCACACAGTAGTGTTTATTGCCATAGTTAAAAAAATACATGAAAGACCCTATACTCGAATCTTCAGCATATTTTTTTTCTCGAGCCCTTGCAGTTCCAGAGTCAATCAGCTCACCTAAATCAATATTCTAAGCAAAATGCTGTGTTTCGAATATGAAAAAACAGTAGAGTAGTTTTTGAAAGATTATTAAAAAAACAAAAAGAAAAAACAAAAGAAAAACTAAAGGAAGTAAAGAAATAGCAGCAATCGCTGTAGATACAAAAATTTTTACCAACAAATGAACGAAAAAAGAAGAGCTAATAAGAAGTCATTCTCTTTCGGGAAGTAGGAATAAGCTAATTTTTGGTACGTTCAAAAAATTAACCTTTGTACTCGATAACAAAATCGTTTTTCTGAAAATCTTTCAGTGACCGTATCCCGCGCCCCTTCTCCTTACACTCATAAATTTCTAGAAACTTTTCATTGCTACTCAAAAGGATTGCGGATTCCAGTGCACTTCTCACTTCCATCTAAAAAAGCCACCTTTAAAGAAAACAGAAGAGTAGTAAGAACCAGGAACCTCTGAAAAAAACTAGTGGAAAATCTAAAACAGCATTTCAAATGTATGATATCAAACTGCTATTAAAGCACAACTAAAAAGGAACCTTTCGAAAACAGTATTCAAAATTTGAAAAAATCTAAAGGTTGAAGAATTAGGATCTTTGGAGAAAGATAGGCATTATCCTTGAAATGCTTATTAGTAAAGAATGAATAACGAAAAAAGACAGGAAGAATAACAGAAAACTAACTTCAATTTGCTTGCTTGTCTTCCTGTGACTTCGTCTGACATTGAAAAAATCTGTTATCTTAGTGTTATTTGTAGATACTGGAGGCACATCTTTGCTCCTAAAATGAATGCCTAGTAATTTAAAAACAATGACAAGCACCGGTCATACATAATAAGAATAAAAGTGAAAATCAAAGAAATTCTTATTGGATTTTAAAATTAAGGTTTAATAAACAAACAAAACAGAAGAGTATTTCTTGGTCTTCATCTTCAACAACCCCAACCGACAATTAAGCTTCTCCCGAAACATTATGAATTCTCCAACAAAAACACCTTCCTGCTATACCAAACTATATAAAAACAAAGGAATAAAGCAGACTTCGGAGCATCAACTTTCTTCGGTGTCCCATTGCAACCGTTACGCTTCTTCCCACGCTTCCGTGCTACAACCTTATCCAACATCTAAAGTAAGAAAAATACTAAATTTTCAAACAAGCACGACATGATTTTCCGAAAGAATAACACGGGTTTCAAATTCAGTGTTTTTACTCAGAAACAAATGTAAATCGCTATCTCCTATAAAAAATATTTAAAAAAAGAAACTATTCCAAGACCAGAAAACAGGTGAATACGAACTTGGAAAGATTGTGGACATTAACTTTCAAGAACGACTAATCCAAAAAAAAAAAAAAAAAAGCTTTGCTACCTGCAGAATGTTCAGAGCTGGAGGAAAATCTTTCCGTTTAACAATTCCTACGCCAACTTTTTAGAAGTCTTCAGCACTGAGACGTATCCGTAAATTTAAGGATTAGAACTTTATTAGTCAAGACAAGAACCTGATTTATGCCTAACTTTTCCGAGGTCGTTCTGTCGTGATCTGCGTCTCAATTTATTTATTCAAATACCTAATGCTTTTAAAACAAATGCAAAAAGAAGAAAAAATTGTTCAAGAAAAAATTGTCTGTGAATGTCACTTTTCCTTGTGCTTCAATGTCAAATAATTTCACTGTATAGAAGAACATAGAGAACACTCATAACATAAAGAGCAAACGTGAAATAACAAGGAGGAATGAATATGTGCACGGTTAGTTTTTGAACGGGCTAGCCACCAGCATTACAACAAATGCAATACAACTACATTTATATTTGAAAAAAATTCCAAAGAAAAAGAAGACAGTACTTAAACAGTTGGTACCTAATTTCGGCTAAGAGTCAACTTCGAAGGAAAAAAGTGGAAAGCGTTTCAAACGATAGAAAGGGAATGAAAAAGTACCATACAAAAGGACAACTGAGATAGTGCTGGACCACGGTGAAAAATCCAAAGTCAGTAAGGCTTACAACGACCCTTTCATTAAAGGCCGAAAAAATGAACATACTCTATGCAAGCTCACTCTATGAACATCAATTTTTCAACTATTATTTCGGCTTCTCTCAGGCATTAGAAGGCAGAACAATGAAGAACTCTCAAAAATGAACAAAATGCATAAAAAAAAAAAAAAAAAAAAAAAGGGGGGGGGGGGGGAAA